ATGCAGTTTAATGCTGATAAATGTAAAGTTCTGAGGTTAGGTAATGATGATAGAGTTACAAGATACGAGCTAGATGGTGTTGTGATTGCGAAGTCGGATTGCGAAAGGGATCTGGGAGTTATGATTAGTAAGAATTTAAAACAAAAGGATCAATGCATAAATGTTCGTAATAAGGCAAATCGGACACTTGGATTTATTAATCGCAGCGTTAGTAACAAGACACCTGGTGTGGTTCTCAAGCTATATCTTGCTCTAGTTAGGCCCCATTTAGATTATGCAGTTCAGTTTTGGTCGCCATATTATAGAATGGATATAAACTGCCTGCTACTAGCTCTATCTATAAAGCCAACAAACTTTGTAAAATCTCTTTATGTATGTACCTTTGCCTAAATAAAAATTATTATTATTATTATTATTATTATTAAATTCACTTGAACGTGTCCAGCGTAGGATGACTAAGTTAATTCCCCAAATTAGCAATCTTTCATATGAAGAAAGATTAACAAAGCTTAAGTTGCATTCACTGGAAAGGCGAAGAGTTAGGGGTGACATGATAGAGGTTTACAAGTGGATGAATGGACATAACCGGGGGGATATTAATAGGGTATTAAAAGTATCAACACAGGACAGAACACGAAACAATGGATATAAATTGGATAAGTTTAGATTTAGGAAAGACTTGGGTAAATACTGGTTCAGTAACAGGGTTGTTGATTTGTGGAACCAATTGCCGCGTAACATTGTGGAGGTGGGGTCCCTCGATTGTTTCAAGCACGGGTTGGACAAGTATATGAGTGGGATTGGGTGGTTATAGAATAGGAGCTGCCTCGTATGGGCCAATAGGCCTTCTGCAGTTACCTTTGTTCTTATGTTCTTATGTTCTTATGAATTCTCATTATCTGTTGATGTAGACCTGATCAAATGTAAACTGTGTCAACAAAATTATTCGCACACCCTCTGTCACTATGTGATGGAGTGCGAAAAGATACATGAATTCAGAGACAATTCTATAACAAATGTACCAGAGATGTGTAAATATATCATTCAAAATGATCTGCTGCCAGAAATCTTGGCCAAATATCCCCAGTTTGCTAACTGTACGCTGAAGCGGGATTATATTACAAGCTTCTCCTCCTCCAACTGACCAACATCTGGGAGGTTGGGAAGAGATATTAATTGTAATCAGTTGCACACTTGGGAATTTTAATTAGTGGACCAAGAATTAGTGTAGGCCTTCTTGGAATGTGGAACACTTAAAGGATAGGTTATGTACAATTAACAGACCCATCTCATTATCTGTCATGAACCAAATTGAGTATGGAACAATTACAGTATATAATTTCTTAATATAGTTGCTATGCTCAGTTTCCTTAAATTTCAGTAGTGAAAAATGCCAAGCGACAGTTGTCCGGCCAGAAACACTATGAATGTTAGTGGCTTTGCACACTGATATTATGTACTCCTACAACCCAGTGTACCTTCTTGTATATACAGTAAATTAATAAACAAACATACATAAAGTGGGCTTCACTTCAGATGAACCAAAACATGTCATATGATATAAGCCATTATCTAAGGGTTCAAAATTCATTTGAATGTCAATATCATGATATTTATCAACTTCACGCGGAGATACAGTGAAATGAGGAAAATGTTCCAATTGGATATGACAATCTGTAGTAACTATATTAACAGTTGCTCCAAAGTTCTCAAAAGTTCCCTTGCAGGCAATTATATGTGCCTGTTCATACCACATAACTAATCCCTAAGAATTCCACATTTCAAAACATTCTATGACAAACACTCTACAAAAATCCTATGTGCACTAATTACAATTGATACTTGTCCCCCAAGGTTTCCAGGAATCATTTAGGACAGCCAACAGTCACCAGGAAATTTCCCAGCAGAATGATCAACTTGCTAAAAGCATTCTGTCCAACACATAGTCAGCTGAAGTGTGGCATATAAGTCACCATGAACGTAGGATCTGCACTCAAACTCAAATTGTTGCCCAGTGATAAATGTTCTGGATATACTTGGATCTTCTCCAACACCATCGACAATCATCAGCAACAATGTAACACTCAACAAGTTGGACTCGTTGAGTTGAACTTGTTCCAGCTCACTCACAAGATGCTGCAACCTCTCTACAGAGCAGACAGCAATTCTGGCTATACCTGAACTACTACCCTCTCACCCTCCTTCGAGCTCTCTCTTCCCCGACCTCAATCAAGCTCTCTGCTCCAGGCCTGGCGTGCACATCCTTATCTCAGCAATCAAGACACATCATTACATTTCCAATATGCCACTGCTATAACCAAGACTATATTAAATAAACATTAAAAACCACTATACTCTGAGTCTTGTCACCCAAAATTGTAAACGTTATAAATCCTTGCTCACAAGCCAAGTCTGATGGTTTTACCTAAAAGGAATGACATATATTACTACGTATATGTGAGAAAGCTGTAGGAACACGTAAGCCATAGATAACGATCATTGGTGCAGTGGTCACGGTACTGTGTATGTTTAGGGGTGATCCTGGACGGCATGGGTTATTTATTTATTTAATATATATATATATATATATATATATATATATATATATATATATATATATATATATATATATATATATATATATATATATATATATATATATATATGTCAAATATATATATATATATATTTGCAGTCTCCGTGGTGTAGTGGTAAGACACTCGCCTGGCGTTCCGCGAGCGCTATGTCATGGGTTCGTATCCTGGCCGGGGAGGATTTACTGGGCGCAATTCCTTAACTGTAGCCTCTGTTTAACGCAACAGTAAAATGTGTACTTGGATGAAAAAACGATTCTTCGCGGCAGGGGATCGTATTCCAGGGACCATAGGATTAAGGACGTGCCCGAAACGCTACGCGTACTAGTGGCTGTACAAGAATGTAACAACTCTTGTATATATCTAAAAAAAAAAAAAAAAAAAAAAAAAAAAAATATATATATACACACACACACACACACACACACACACACACACACACACACACACACACAGAGGTACAGGTTTTACAGGTACGTAAAAGGGAAAGATCGACCTTTGAGGATCACCCTAAACGGTGCCAAACAGATGGAAGAAGTACTAAGGAATGCTAGAAAATTGCAAAGGGATGAGGATGGGAAAGGGTGGTCGTTAAGACGAGATCTTTCAAAAGAAGATAGAGAGAAGCTGAAACTGAACCTCGCAGAGGCAAAACATTTAAATGAGAGCAGGAATGAAGAAGAAATAAATTCTTTTTTCTACAAAGTGATAGGGGTAGGCAAACCAGTAAAGTGGTACATAAAGGCAAACCAACAAAATCAATAGAGAGAGGGGGAGTGAAGAATAAGGAGAGGGGGAACAAATTCCTGAAGATTGCATACACCAACATAGATGGAGTGAGATCGAAGATACTGGAGTTAAGTGATGTAATACAGCTGCAGACACCAGACATTGTTGCACTCACGGAGACAAAACTTGAAGATGTAATTTTAAATGAGGTCATATTCCCAAGGGGCTACTCAATTTGGAGACGGGACAGAAAAATTAGGAAAGGCGGTGGCGTTGCTGTGCTGGTAAAAGAACACCTAAAGGTGAAGGAAATAATGACTGCCAATCCACAAGAAGTTGACATAATAGCACTAGAGATCTGCTATGAGGATGATAAACTAATGATGATAAATGCATATAGTCCACCGCCAAGCAGCACATGGTCAAAGGAGGAGCTAGATAGTAAACGTGAAGGTCTTATAACAATAATGAGAGAGATTATAGCGAGAGCGGATAACGATAGATCACGACTGTTGATAGTCGGTGACTTCAACTTGAAATCCATAGACTGGGAAGCATATGAAGCTAAAACAGAAGATTTTTGGACCTGTAAATTTGTAGACCTCATCCTGGAAACATTCTTGTATCAACATGTTAAACAAGCTACGAGGATGAGGGAAGGGGACGTTCCCTCCATGCTAGATTTGATATTTACCAGGAAGGAGGAAGAGATATTTGACATTCAGTACCTTCCTCCCTTGGGTAAAAGTGACCATGTCTTTTTGGGAATAAAGTATGCAATGCGTTATAAGCTGGAAGAAAATAAGGAGGTTGAAGCAGTTGAAAAACCAGACTTCAGGAGAGGACATTATGGTGACCTTAGAAATTTTTTTAGTGAGTATAATTGGACAGACTTGATGCTAGGCAAGGAAGTGAATGAGATGTATGGCAAGTTTTGTGAAATATATGATAAAGGCACAAAAAAATTTATACCAAAACAGAGATGCAGAACTAGGAAACAGGATTGGTTCAATAGAAATTGCGAGAGGGCTAGAGACCGAAAGACACAAAATGGAATCAATACAGGAAGAGGCCGAACCCCCAAACATACCAGCGATACAAAGATGCGAGAAACAACTACACGGCAGTGAGGAGAGAGGCAGAAAGAAATTTTGAAAAAGGGATTGCGGACAAATGTAAAACAGAACCAGGTCTATTCTATAAATTCATAAACAACAAATTGCAGGTAAAGGATAATATTCAGAGGTTGAAAATGGGAAATAGATTCACGGAAGATGAAAAGGAAATGTGTGAAACACTAAACGAAAAGTTCCAAAGTGTGTTTGTACAAAATGAAATCTTTAGGGAACCAGATACAATAAGAATTCCAGAGAACAACATAGAACACATAGAGGTGTCTAGAGACGAAGTGGAAAAAATGCTCAAGGAGCTCGGTAAGAACAAAGCAGCTGGCCCAGATGGCGTTTCACCATGGGTTCTGAGAGAATGTGCATCTGAGCTCAGCATTCCACTTATATATATATATATATATATATATATATATATATATATATATATATATATATATATATATATATATATATATATATATATATATATTAAAATCAGAAAACTAGCTCTTGTGCAAAGTTCTAGTTTATTACATACTAGTACTTTATAAGGTATAAAAAGAAATAATAAAACTGTTAATTCTTTATTACACTATCAGTGACTGCTTTTAAAACAATACACCTACAAATTACACCAAATTTGTGCACTGTACAAAATACTAAACATTCTAACAGCTGGTTACACTTGAGATACCTTGGCTAACCACCTGGAAATAACAACCAAATCTGTTACAACAACTGAACATTGCCACAACTCATCAAAATCACAAATTAATTATACACATCAATATCTATCATACATCAATACACACTGCAAACATATGGTATGGCACTAACCTAGATATTATCCAATATGGTACTGAAATACACACAAATACTATATTAGTATATATACTAATATACATTAATATTAGAATATACATTAATATATAGAATATACATTACAAATATTTATATACACTAAAAGAAACTTAATTAAAAGTAAAAAAAAATCATAAAAAAATGCATTTTGTAGTTACCTACTTGTAATTACTGTACCTAGGTTATAGATAGAGGAAGAGAGCTATGTTCGTGGTGTTTTGTCTTTTTTATATACTTTATCAACTGCAATCTTAAAATTATCAGTAGATTTGGCACAGAACTTTCTCCTAAAGGTTTCCCATATTACAAATGCTCTATTACTGAAGACAAGGTTCTGACAAATGCAGCCCATGATGTGTATAAGTTAGGTTGTTGCAACAGCTGTTTAAGCAACAGCTCACCCTTTCTTAAACTTTACCCCAAAAAACACCCATTATTTTCCCTGTCTAACAGGAATAGATCAAATTGATAAAGAGGAATTCCTGAAACCAGCAACTTCACGAACAAGAGGACACGGATTCAAGCTAAGAAAACAGAGGTGCCGAGAAAAATATTAGAAAATTTTCTTTTGCAAATAGTGGTAGATGGCTGGAACAAACTTAAGCGAGGTAATGGTGGAGGTCAAAACCGTCAGTAGTTTCAAAGCGTTATACGACAAAGAGTACTGGGAAGATGAGCGTAGCTCTCATCCTGTAACTACTACACTAAGGTAATTACACTGCTTTTCAACTCCAAAACTGCTGTTTCAAATTTCAGCCACTGGATTTTCTCTAACTTGCAATTTTGTTTACAACTTGAAAAAAAAGGTTTGGGTCTGATGCTTTTTTACACAATCCCATTTTAAAGATTTTGCTTCTTTGCCCTCTTGGTATATTTTCCTGCTTGTTTGTATCCGATACATTTGGCGGGTTGGATGTTTCCTAAAATGTCTCCAGGCTTTTCCAGTGTGTCCTGTTTAATATAATGTGTTTCCATCTTTAGTAATCTTTGCATTGATTTGATATTATGTATGCAAAATGTGCATACATAATACTGGACATTAATTATCTGCAGCTCTCAATTCCACTTAACATCTCTAAAGTATTACTTTAATTCTGTATTCATTCCCATCTTGTAATTCAATTAACATTCTCCTTTCTACCTACTTTCATACCGACATGTTGAACAACATACTGTACTTTAATTACTCTTAGAACACAGACATACTTCTCAAATATTTCCTCTTCCTTGTGATGACTAGGGTCATCTCATGCGGGTCATCCTGCCTGCCTTGCTCTTAGGGCAACCCTTGGCCAATGGTGATACCATCAATGTGGTGGGACCTATCTCCTCCAACATAAAGAGGAGATAGGTTCAAACAAATCTCCTGTCTCCTCTTGCAGATTAAATCTGCAAGAGGAGATAGAGTCAAACAAAAGGAACAAAGCTATATTAGAAAGTTCAGTTGCAAACAGTAGTAGATGTGTGGAACAGTTTGAGAGAGGGGGTTGGTGGAGGCCAAAATCGTCAGTAGTTTAAAAGTGTCATGCGACAGAGAGTACTGGGAAGATGGAACACCACGAGCATGGCTCTCATCCCGTAATTACAATTAGGTAATTTCTTAAGTAATTACACACCATTTGTGAATTCTTCATAGGACCTTAGTGACTTTGTTACTTTCACAATGTTGCAAATTTCTGTTAACTGCAAACACAAACACCCTCTTGTACAAGTGACAGTGCCCTATTTACTCCTTTAGTAATTTAAAATGTCATATTTCCTAATAATAACTCATTATATTACTTCTTCATAAACTATTAAGACATAAGATTCATTAACTGGATAATAGAATGCTTAAAGAATATTTGTCAACAAACTATTTTCAATGTACTAATGCAATATTATGATTAAATCACATCTGCTGACAACCTATTAGATATGAATTCCAAAACAAACAAAACACCATATGAATATTCCTGCTATGCTTCCTACATTTAACTATTCTAAAATCGCAACACTTAAAAAAGCAAAAATACTAACGATGAATGTAATGAAAATGCTTCTTTCTAGTTTGGCCTTGGTGGCTCCCCTGTAGCTAGCTTACTTAGCATACGCGAGCCATATCAGTCTCGGGAGAACTTAATGGTCGACCAGAGACTGGAGCCAGAACCTGGTTCTCTCACAGAAGCTCAGGGACCAAGAGATTGTTATGATCACCCTCACCAAGGAAACTGGTAAAGCAATAGCTGGCAGAGGGCAAACAGCCCAAACTTGATGGCCCTGACAGTGGCAGAACCAGAACAATGCCTGGAGCCAAACTCTGACCAAGGAGAATATCATGCAGGTAAAGTTTAAGATCCCACACAACCGCTCAACCAACTGGTCAGTAACCTGGGGCCAGTCCAACACCAGATTGAGGTAGTATTGCAGGGAAACAGAGCCACAGACGGCAGAGAAAGGGAAGCTACCGGGAATCCCAAACAAGAAACCCTAACTACAACACCAGGTGAACTTGAGCAAAAGCAGTCATGCAAAAAGTTGGAAATGGAAAGAAGCTCTTCAAATTCAAGAAGTCAAGAATGTACCATAGGTCCACCAAGTCTCAAGTGAGGATCAGGAAACACCAGGGCAACCACTTTAGAATGAGGGGGGGTCAACTCGACCACACCAGAGACCAATCGAGTCACAATGACCACAGAGTTGAGGTGAGGACACCTGACCCAAGTCCCTGGAACCTCAAGAGAAAGTAGGTTAAAGTGGATCAATGCCACAAGAGACTTTGGGATACTACTTGTATAGCCTATGAATCGTGGGACACAGAATTGACAAAGCAGGTCAAACGTTACCTTGATAGTGGTGTCAAAGGGAGACCGTGAAAGGCCAGGAGAAAAAAGAAAACAGAGGAAGGACCAAAGTCTGGGAATCAGGCTCCACCAAAGGCCTATCTCAAATAATCACAGGCAAGGCCCTAACACAAAAATGAGTAGAGACCAAGATGAAACAAAAAGCCTGGGCGAGCACAGCTCGCCAAAACGTGTGATGGGCAAGGGAAGTAGGTAATAGGGCAACAACACTAGGCATCAATGCAAAAATAATCAGGCCGCTCCAGAGCTGATCAGAGATCGGCTCAACCACAGCAATGAAGTGAAAATGGCACCAACTGAGGACAGAACCCATGGAAACTCTGCAACCAAGGCTTCAGAAACCCAATACACCTGCCAGTGGGATAAAGTCCACCACTCACTCCACAAGCACCTGGATATGATAAAGAGCCATGCCAAATTTCCAAAGAAATCAGGGGGTTTTCCACAAGCCATGAAAAACATGAATCCCACAATGCAACCACAAGGCTGAAGCTGACCTGAACCCAATAAGAGGCTGGATCCTTTAGGGAGGAGAAGTCCAGTACCCAAAGAAGAAATTGAAAAAAGTGACTGAACAAGGTGGAAGACAGGAAGAAGGAATTCTCCTGAAACAAGATACAGTACATATAAGGACACAAATGGTACTAGTACACAGAGGGAATCCAGGGAGAAGCTGAGAAAGCACAATTAAACAGAGGGAGAATATATAATATACCTCAAATGAGCTGAAAAACTCCCTGCAGAGGGAACCAGATACTTGGGAAGGTTGAAGGGCACCCAGAGACCTACCTCGGGCTCCTCCCCAGCAACAGAAGTCTGAAATGAAAACCCTGGCATAGAGCCCAGCTCCACACATGCTGCTTGAACAGACAGGAAGGCATCCCACAAACACTACAATTATCCAAGTCAAATACACTCCCCCAGAGAAAAAGAAAGGCTCATATATCTGCTGCAAAGCAACAGTTCAACTTTCCTTGGGGTCTTCTTCTCCATGGATCACGGCTATCTCTGGAGAAAGCCGAACTACACATACAGCTAAACGCAGCCTGGCCTCCAAAACCCTTAAAAAGACATTGGAAGCAGCAGCAGCTAACAGAGCACAAGTGGAAACACCAACCATTCCAACTCCAAACATGAAAACTACGTGGCTACTACTTGAGCACAAGCCACAACACAAAAACTGATAATCGAACTTGAAGCGGCCACTGCCCGAGGAGCCTCAGGCAGTGGCCTGAGGATCATATTACAAAGGCTTCACACTACAAAAAAAATATGAGGGTGAATCCACACATCACTGGTCTTAGGGTAGAGGGTAAAACCTACCCAACAGTAGCAGTGAGACAGTAAAAAATTGCTTTTTGGTTTGTAGCAAAACCGACGGACATACCTCAAACCTGCAAGTAACAAGTACGGGTCCACCAAGCTGATCCATAATGAACCCCATCAAAGACCCCCCAGGGCCTAAAGGTAAAGATCAAACAGGACACCCAGACACTACGGACTCTCTACCTCCCTACCTGTTGACTACCTGTTGAAGATTCCGTGGATCAATGTCCCCATGGTCTGGTCTCTGACCAGGCCTCCTGGTTGCTGGTCTGATCCACCAGGCTGGTTGATGTAGCTGCTTGCAGCCTGACATTTGATTCACACCCTGGTTGATCAGTTCTCACCAAAAGAACTGACACCTAAAGCAGCCTTCAGGATAAACATGGCTATGAAGGGTATCAGTGGCATTCAGTTAAATACAAGTATGCGAATCTTAGTGCACCCCTTAATTAGTAACTGCAGAACTCCTCCAACCACAGAACCTTTACAGAGGCATCAAAAACCCTTGCATTATTCAGGGTGAGGCACCCTACACTGTAGTATGGTCTCTCAGAGATAAACTCCTTAACCCAATAGAGAAGTCACACTGTTAGGAGAGGGACAATGATGAACAAGTATCCACTGGGTACTTGTTCATGGAAGAAGGGAAGGGATGCCCTAATCATCTACAGATTGAGGTAAATCATACACCAAGTTCACACAACAAGTGAGGTATGGAAACATGCATATAAAGCAAACACTAAACTTGGAAACAATATGCAAAGCAATTGGCCCCCACAGTACAGAGTTCCAAAGATAGCCTCACTATCTGGAAAAGCTGGGATATACTAAAGCTGACAATTCAAGGAGCAGTCCACACATTGGGGACATCAGTGACATGACTGACCTCTGTTGACATGGGGGAGCTAGAGCTGCTGGTGGTACTGCCATCAGGCAATGGCTTGCTGGAACTAGGGGGTTCAAGCCAAGTGCAAAATTGTTTGCTGGGTCATTTTTCTTCTTTCTGAGAACCTTGCAGTTCAATCCATCCTTGCCAATGTTTATGAGGATAGGTTCATAATGCCTAACCACATCTTTATGAATGAAAAACGTTTAACATACAAATCGCAACTGATGACATTAGAACATATCTTGAGGGGTGTTTCGATGGTGATGACCTCAGTTCGAATTGCACCTCTATAAATGCTTCACAAAGTACAGTACTACAACCATAAATAATTGCCAACATCACCTATACACAAAAGCTAACCTTCAACTAAATATGCACAATATGCTAAACAGTACAATATAAATTTATATTTGAGAAAATTCATATTTTGAATGAACATGTTAAATTGATGAATGTGTCTTTGGGGTCGGCCGCAGTATGGCATGAACTTCTTGTGCAGTTGTCTGTTTTGTTGAGCTTACTTTCTGGATATTTCCCATGGTGGCAGTGATTGTAATAACCATGTGCTCCCTGAGCCTCTTGTGAGGGAGCCAGGTTCTGGCTCTATTCTCTGGGAAGCCATTAAGAATTTCTAAGGCTGGGTTGACTGGTGACGACCGGGCCGCGGGGACGCTAAGCCCCGGAAGCACCTCAAGGTAACCTCAAGGTGACATGACACTTGTAATTACTTAATGTGGAGCAAGTTACAGTGAGCCACCATTCGGCTACAGGAGCCACCATTCGGCTACAGTGAGCCACCATTCGGCTACAAGAGCCACCATTCGGCTACAGGAGCCACTGTTCGGCTACAGTGAGCCACCATTTGGCTACAGGAGCCACCATTCGGCTACAGGAGCCACCATTCAGCTACAGGAGCCACCATTCGGCTACAGGAGCCACTGTTCGGCTACAGTGAGCCACCATTTGGCTACAGGAGCCACCATTCGGCTACAGTGAGCCACCATTCGGCTACAGTGAGCCACCATTCCGCTACAGTGAGCCACCATTCGGCTACAGGAGCCACCATTTGTTATCATTGCACATTTAATTATAACAGCCAGCCATCTGATAAACAACTACTTGATTTTTAATTCATGAAAGCATTCAAACTTTTAATAAAGAAATTAATAATAGCTAATCTTTACTTTCTTCAGTGAGCCAGTAAAATACACTTGGTTGATACTCTGTATAGCGGATACAAATACTGTATTCAGTTTATTGATTTAAGTAGCCTATCACCTATTCTCACACTCATAATAATTATTGTAAGAAAATCTAATTTTCTATAACTCACGTTTAGATACACTGAGATATGGTAAGACACTTTGATTCACATAATTTATATTTCTAATATTCTGCAAGACATTTTCTGTTTTCACAATTCTAAAATATTTCCAAACATAATATATGAGATTTAAATCAAGTGCACAAAATAAAGCTCTTCAAGGCTACATACAGATTATATGTAACTTTTCAAAACCCTGAAATTATATTACTATTATAATGTATAATGAACAGTTGTAGAGGAGATACAGGGTAACATGCCATGCATATCTAACTAGCTGCACTTACACACTGATTGTCTCAGTCACCTCCTTAACACGTCTTTACACGTATATAAGTATTTGGTACTTCATAAGGCTGTTCTGAAGTTGTATTACAGTTTATACCTATCCTTCCTCTACAGATCTCCAGTACAATTGCATCAAATGAAATCTACAATACTTTATCTTAATACTGTACAGTATTAACATTTCTCCTGTGACATTTTCAGAGGTTAAATTATAATAACTTTCCTGTTCTAATGAAAGCTACATGTAATATACTACAGACAAGTGAACTACAGTTTTAACATGTGGTTATATTTTGAAAGTACAGTAGTATATTATTTTCCACCAATGCACAATACAATGGAGAAATAGGCAGCTATGAAAGATGTAGTAATATCTTTGGTCAAATGTAATTTCATTATTAATTAGTAATTTTCTGAGGACAGCTATGGGAGTTCTGAGGACAGACAGAAACAAGCAGCTATGAAAGTTCTAGTAATATCTTTGGTCAAATGTAATGTCATTATTAATTAGTCATTTTCTTCATAAAAAATGCAAAAGTGAGTACATAAGCACTGGTACTGTAATTAACAAACAAAAGTACTGTACTAAGGCTACAGTATATAGCACCTTCTGTGTTACAGCATATTTAAGAGTTCATAAATATTATTTAGCAAACTAATACAATTGCAGAAAAACTTAAGATGATCCATGTCTGATTTATCAATGATTTCACTGAAACATATGTGACTCAAAGGAGCAGTAGAAAATAAATTTTTTGTTCATCCTGAAAAATTAGAACATTCTATGAGTAGGTGACCACTTGGTGAGCACTGGTCAAAAAACTCCAGCCTGGATCTAAGGTGTCTATTAACAGTGCAAGCACAGGAGAAAGACACTATAGAACCAAATTCCAAAAATCCCAAAAAGGAAACTGGCAACAGAGAAACTACAACTGCCAAAGGGATCCACACCTGAGGGGGTCCCCAGTGGCAAAAGGGGTTTCCTCCAGTATCAATACAGCAACTGCAGCCAAACCCGGTCTAGTGGGTAAACCACACAGTTTAAATTAAGGCAGCCACACAACCGCTCGAGCTGCCAACAAGAGATCCGAGTGCTCCTCAAGCCAAAATAATGTAAGAAAACAACCACACTAAGACTACCAACCTTGACTCCCAGACCAGACCCAGTTGCAAACGAATTGCAATGGAACCAACTGGAGCTTCTGCCAACTGACCAGGAACCCAAACCTCACCAATTGGGAAAGAAATATGATCCCTGACCCACAGACAGGCAGGCTGGCTGGGAGCTAGTCATTGAGTTAGGCCAAGAAGCTGATCCCCAACAGATAAAGCCGAGACATCATGACCAGCATCAATCTGCAAAACATTCTGACCACCAAGTTCAAATTAAAGGGAAGGACCCTAAAGCTGTAATCAAGATGTCCTTTACGAGAACCTAGCCAGTTCCTGAACCCCAGATGAATTGGGATACCTCAATACACATCTTAAAGCTCCAGAAACACCAACCCATCCTGCAGAACCAAACTGCTCTTACTGAATATGGTCTCACAAATGGACAAAGAGGGAATGAAGCTGTTTAAAATTACGAGGTTGAGAATAATTTGAAGATCTAGTAAGTCCCACTTTGAGACCGGGAATAAATCTAACACCTGCCACAAGGAGAGTGTCAGCTCAACCACCTCCACATTCAATTGACCCACAATGCCCTTGTGGCACAGCACAGTAAATGGTTGAGTCCAGACCCCAAGACATCAAAAAAGGGATTGAAGACCACTCCCACTGAAGGACCTTCGACACCAGATGAAACGACAAGGCACCACAAGTCTAAGCATGGGAGAAAGCCCTCAACTGTCCCCACACTGTACCGTTAAAGGGGCAAGTTGCAAAAGAACCAGCACAAAGCACGTCATTGACCAGCTGCCTCCTGGAAAGACCAAGAACTGCTCCTCTGAGAAGAGGAAGCCAGGATTGAAATCAGCATTACAACCTAAAAGACCAGGCACCACAAAACCTCTACCTCGACCAAAAGGAACCAAGGCCCAAACCTCCAAAGACCACTAGCGTGCTAAAGAACAGAACCCAACCGTGGATATACCTGCATCAAAGCCTGAAAAGCAATAGCCACAGCAAAGAGATTCCAGGAAACCACCTCCTCCAGAACCAGAAGAGAAGTGGATTGGAGGGAAAGAAAGACCAAGCCAACTCCAAAACATGGAAAAAAACAGCCTCCTTACACATCAAATGAGTGTCAGAGAAATCCAAACAAATTCACACACAACATACACTATAACACTAAATAAAGCTTCACTAGCCATTTATTTGGTTGAAGTTGCCAGTATCACAGGCTAGGGAAACTACTCACCCAGGAAGTATGACAAAATGGTATAGGAGAAAATGTACACAATGGTTTCATAGCCATGTCATAAGATACATATAAAGTGTGCCATATAAAATGTTGCAGAAACAATGTACAAACCATTCATTTCATTACTGTATTACCTAACAAATTCCCGCCATACACGTAATCACAATAAAAAAATATTAATACCTGTATTAAAAAACATCGATCACAATAAACCAAATAAACATTTAGTCTTGTAAATGAACTAATACTAATATTATGCACACATTTCAATACACAATGATGACTGCTTTAATAATTGTCTAAGTAATACCTTTACTGTAAGAAAATACAAATTTGACTGAAGATCTTTAAATATATGCTATACCATTTTCAGTCTGAGGCCTTCTGACCATGTTTCAATATTTGTATTATTCTTAATTTTAAAGACTGGGGTATATTCTGTCAAGAACAAGGCCTTAATTAACTGACTTCTTAAATGTCCTTCTA